CTCTCTTTATATCGATTGCGTTTCAGAATCCTTACAAAGCTTGGCCATACACGCACACACACAATTGAATTCATTCCGTCAAAGAAAACAATTATGTCGTTAGCTTCAGATCCTTCAAAAGATTCTAGATCTACTTATTGTCGTAAACAGAAGTCTCTCGGTCTCCTATGTTCCAAGTATGAATCTGAGGTTTTGTTAATTTTATTTTGAGTATGAATCTAAACATTTGCTGATTTTTCTTTTTAAATTTATCTATTTTGTGAATTGGTGCAGTTTTTTGAGCTTATACAATCGGGAAGGTATTGAAACCATAGGGCTTGATGATGCTGCGCGAAGATTAGGTACTTATATCTTCCTTAATTTTTTTTTTAATTTTTTATTTTGGGGTTTTTGATATTTATGGGTTTGTTTTGGCTCCTTTTATATTTAGGGGTGGAAAGACGGCGGATCTATGATATTGTGAATGTACTGGAAAGCATTGGTGTAAGATCTACTTATATATTACAACTCGTAACAATTTGAATTTTGTTAATTGTAAGGTTCTATTTTCCTAAATCTTATAGTTCTAGGTTTTTGTTAATTCAGGTTCTTGCAAGGAAGGCTAAGAATAGGTATTCATGGAAAGGGTTCGGAGCAATTCCTTGGACATTGCAACAATTGAAGGTAAATGCACTAGTTTAGAGTTTGGATTTAAGTTATACACATTGACATTTATTTTTACACTATCAATGTAATTTAACATGATAGAACATGTTTATTACCATTTGTTCTAGAATATCAATCAATGTAAAATTGAATATAGTTGCTTTCAATTATTCTTTAAGTGGTATGATTGTGTAAATTCTTTTAGATTGTTTGTGTTTGGACTATAAACTCTTCAATTTTTGGCTTACCTAATTGTTTTCTTTTTGGTCTCAATTAATAATTGGTTAGGAAGAGGGTCTAAAAGAGAATGTCAGTGGATTTGATGGATCTAGCTCTGCCAAGGTAAGTTCTTGACTGCTCTCATTTTTAAGTATTGTTTAGTTTAAGTCCTTTGTCTAGTGAGATGGTATAGTTTCCTTATTTTGCTTCATGTAATATCAGGGTTCAGATGATGATGATGATGATTCAGATTCCAAACCAATTGTTTTGAGTCACACAGAGACACTAAACCCCAATTCCAACTCTGCAGCAGCGTCCAAATCTGGTGTGTTTGCTTTTTTCCTTCCTTTAAGTGTTGCTTGTAAATGACATTCAATTGTTTTAATTAATACAGCTATTCTGAGACATCTTGGGCTATGTTTTAACAGACAATAGAAGAGAAAAATCATTGGGACTACTTACACAGAATTTTGTCAAGCTCTTCCTCTGCACCGATGTAAGAAAAAAACTTTCCACTATCAATAACTTGTTTCTCTATTTGGTTTCTATATATTTAGTTCTTTGTGGTGATTCTGTTCAGGTTGATATGATTTGTCTTGATGAGGCAGCAAAAATACTGTTAGGAGATGGGAGACCTCCAGCGATGACAAGAAGTAAAAATCCACATCTTATTTTTTTCTTGCTTAAGAATAATCTGAAATACTAATGTAGATGAATGAACTGTTAGCATCTTTTAACACCACTGTGCTGCCTATCGATGCTCCTTCAAGTAACTTTGTCCTTTCTTATCTATGCAGCCAAGGTTAGGAGGCTATACGATATTGCAAATGTATTGTCTTCTATGAAGTTTATTGAGAAGGTCATTATCCTCAAATGTTATTCATCAGGAAGAAAAAAATAATTAGGCAGAAAATTGAAAATATACTTAAAATTTTGTATAAGAAACTCTAGTTACTAATATTGCTGCTCGCATAACTTGCTGCAGACCCATCACCCAGAGACAAGGAAACCTGCTTTTAGATGGTTGGGGATGAGAGAAAGATCGGATGACAAATCAGTTGATACTCTTGGTGCTACTGAGTCCAAGAAGAGGGTATTTGGGACTGAGCTTACAAATACAACTATCAAGAGGAGCAGAGGAGCACTACCTATGGATGGTATTTCAGATGAAGCAACTAGGAAACAATTGCTAATTGAAGTCAAATGTGAAAACCTCGAAAATGAGATTCACTGTCCTAAACAGGAACCTGGTTTAACAGCAAGCAAAAAGAGTTACCACTTTGGTCCTTTTGCTCCTCCAAGCCTGGCCCAGGCTGAAGCGTCTGATGCTGACAGGATGAAACGGGTTCATGACTGGGAAAGTCTAGCCTCCACTTACCGTCCTCAGTATCACAACCAAGGTATGTTGATTTTCACTTCCTCAAATACGTTAATGATTCAATTGATTATCATTAAGAAGATGTTAAACGCCAAAAGGCAGGCCAATGTGTTCTACTAGGGATATACTTGTAAATATCAAATTGGTGTCTACTTTTAATGTGATCTACCAGGGCTACTTGGATTAATATGTTGAATCACTTTTTCCTAGTGCACTGAAACAGCCACTTATGTAATTTAGTGGTCTGTTTCTATTCTTAATTTGCTGATTGGTTACTTGCTCCATGCGTGTGTAATTTGATGTGTACACCAGTTTATCTTCTTTGGCCAAATCTTTTGCACATGATCCGATGTTCACCTTTTCCAATTGCATTTACTGTTTAATTTGCCACAAGGATGAAGCATTGAATATCTTGGCTCAAACAAATAATTGGTTTCATTTTTCACATGGCTCAGTACATTCTTAATAATGGGTTCATATATCGTTGCTTATTTGATGTTCTTGAGCTTAAGAAAAAACTCACTGGCAAATTTGGTTTGTCTGCTATGTTTCAGCACTGAAAGATCTTTTTGCACATTACGTGGAAGCATGGAAATCATGGTACTTGGAAGTTGCTGGGAAGAACCCAATTCAGCTGATTCCCTGATGTGCTCTTTCCAGATAAGAATAAATTTCGAAGATAAAACTGCCTTCACATACGATAGATGGTCCGACGTTGAATGCACATTCTCGTTGCATCAACTTTCAATGAAAAAGTAGATGCATTATTCAGTACTCTGTTGGCTTATTGGCAGATTATTGAGTTCAAATGTAGACCAACACTAATTGAATGTACATTTTCTGATACTTGTTCAGTTAATATGATTCTTTGAAAGTCTTGAAAGGAGGGTTCAAATGCTTTTGCTCAGTGTATACTGTGATGCTGCCAACATAACCCCTTCTGCCCAAGTATCTCAAACCAACCGACTTGTATGCTTGATGAGCTCCAGCAACTTATCTTTTGGCGAGGATACACCTGTACTTAGCCCTTTGAACCTATAAGCTATTCGTGTGCTTCCCTATGAAAGTGAAAAAGGAAAAAAGAAGTTAGATCAAGTTGGATGGTCAATATAGAAGTTATTGATCAGCTCAGTTTGATACATCATCCCATCTTGACCCCTTGAGTTGATTGAATCATAGTATGTTCACAAACAGCTACATTAATTTTTTTTTATAAAAGATATTACAAAAGCTGTCGAACGTTCAAGAATGGTTACATTTGGGAGATTATTAAGGCAGAATGCAAAAAGGGGGATGGCAAGGGCAATGAGTAAGTATTTTACTGAAGTGAATGAATTCTCGCATGTCCTTGGAGGAAAAAGCAAGGATTTTGGCGTTCATGCTTTTACTAACTATGCAACTTCAGAATCTAGTCAGTCACAAGATTATGTGCTAAAACCTACTTGGTTAGTAGAAGTTTCCATCTTACTTACTATGGCTTTTATGCAAATGTGAGGCAGAATTAACCAAAAAAAAAGTATAGAACATTTCTAATTACTTTTCTTGATCTACTGTCTGTTGCTCCATTTTCACTCAAAGTTTACATCATCTAAAAATGCAGTTGGAACAGACATAGAAAGCCATTTTTACACAGATCTTAATGACCTGAAGAAGGAAAAGGAAACAAAAGACTAATCCAAAATAGAAGAAGGGCCATAATAAACAAATCAGCACGGATATTTTTTTATTCTCAAGGAGATATCAGCAAGTAATTCACGATATATACACAACACCCAAGAAATATTACCTCCCAACGGCTGTAATCAGAAGGGGAGACAAGAAAAAGACATATCTAACTGCTTGCTGCCTGTCATGCCCTGATGCATAATTTGTCAACTTTCAACGAGCGCAAGTCACAATCAGGGGGCAGATCCACATTGGTTCAAGGGAGTTTAACTGAACCCGCTTCGTAAATATTTTGTACTTCCTCCGTTTCAAATTAAATGAGGTAATTTGATTCGGCACTAAGTTTAAGGAAAAAAAGAAGACTTAAAATTTGTGGCCTTAAAAGTTTAAGGGGTAAAGCTTGTGGGCCCATGACTTTTGTGTGGTTATAAAAGCTTCTCATTAAGGTAAAAGGGATAAAATGAGGAGTTTAAAGTTGAATTATTTCTAAATTTAGAAATGTGTCATTTATTTTGGAACAGACTAAAAAAGAAAGTATCTCTATTTAATATGAAACGGAAGGAGTACTATATTTGTGTGGAAATTATTTTTTGAAGAATAAAGCTAATATAAGAATTCATCAATTGAACCCGCCTAACCAAAGTTGTGCCTTGGTCGGGTGGTCCAAGCGGGGTCTAACTAATGCTACTTGTTGCGTGTTCGAACCCGGAAGAGCATTATTTTATTTTAATTCACTTGTTCAAGATGCTGACAGTTTAGTTGCTGGCCCTCCACGTTATCACCATGCACTTCTTCTTTTTCTTTTATTGCTTATTTTAGTTTAGTATCTTTCCATAGTTATGGAACTTTCTATATGATATCATTAATTTATCTTAGCTCTCTTCTGTTTTTTGGGCTAATAGTTCGTGCAAAATAAATTAGAATTAATAAATAATAATAGAGTTTAGTATCTTAATATAGATCAAACTTATGTTTGTTACAGTGAAATTTGTAAAATTTTCTGAAGTTCAATAACTTGTTCAATTGTAAAGGTATATATATATATATATATATATATATATATGTCTGAAAACAGTATGGCTTGCAAATAAAATAAAGAGTCACGGGCAATTTTTTTTTTTAACGCTTTGTTAGAACCAAAATAAAGAGCACTAGGTAAACCCTATTTGTTTGTTAACTCAATATCGCTTTTACAAGTCGATTATTTTTTTGGACTTCAGTGTATGTTCGAAACCCGCTTGTATAAAAGTCTGGATCCGCCACTGGTCACAATGAAGATGCTGATTCTGCTAATGGTGGGACTAATCTGTGAATTCTCCATACTCTTCTTCCATCAATCTCCTCCATAGAATAGCGCAATCTGTTAACAACAGCACACTTACATGCATAAGTCAACAGCAATTAATATCAGAAATCATTTGTGAATTATCAAAGGCAGATCCTTTGAAACACGACTTTAGTACTACTCGTAAAGTTGGTAGGAGCCATTATAGAGATAAATTGTGAAGGATTTTCCCATTTATGCCTGTATAATTCTGTTCTCTTCTATTAATACAGGAATGCAGGAGATTGTCTTTCTGGACAAAGGTTCTGACTACTTTTTAAATAAATCTACAAGTACCCATTCCAATGCAATATATGAACACCTAGAAAGAGGTAGTCAAGTGTTTAACATTCATGATCCCAAAATTTTTAGTGATCTTTCTGTTGAAACCAAATCACTTTATTTGCAGATTCATGATTAATTGAATTTAAAGAGCGATCAATTTAAGCTCAATAGTCAATACAATCCATTATGTTGAAATAAAACAAAGATGGAACTGGGACCTACTTGAGGTGCACCTGAGATTCCTCTCCCTGCCAAAACTCGAAAAACTCTGGAATAAGCCGGTAACCACCCCAGTGTTTGGGTCTTGGTATGGAAGTTCTGCATGTTAGGAAAAAAAGGATTACTTTGGGGTTTCACATGAATCAAGACAATCACATTTTTTCCTGAGAATGGAAAACAAAAGTATGAATAGGTTGTGATCAACAGGTCTTAGTCAAATACTTTTCCAAGAACATATACACTAAAGGTATGACTTTTACATGTTCGAACAAGGAGACAATTGCAACTATTGAAGAATTCTATCTAAAGATTGTAAATTCAAAAAGTCATCCTTTTATTCTTGGCACGGGATAGCAATCACATGACTGAATGCATTTTACCTGTATCCCAATCAATAGAATACTTCCGCTAGGCACCGTTGGTCGGATACGGGTGTGGTAACCCGACAAGGATGCGGATCTAAAAGTTGGATTCTTCATCACCTAATTATTAGGATTCGGGATACGGATAGTAGTATGGACATGCACACTAAGATATAACCAATAAATGTATATTGTGACATATCTAAGTTTATGTTTCGACAATTAATTAAAAGTTAGCAAATTAAAGCTAGTCTGTAATTAATCTTTGTGAACGCTTAATATGTTATACATAAGTTATCTCATATAATAGCCAAGTGTTCAAGTACATAATGTGAATATATATATGACATAAATCAAACCAAATACCCAATCAACCTATATTTCTTGGTCATAGATGTAGTCAAAGAACCCAAGTTAGGTTGACCAGATCCAGTGTGAATTCCACAATAACACACAAAATCACACCCAAACCCATATTGTGTCGGATCGACATAGGTGCGGCACGGATTTTGAAGAATCTGAGCAGCATAGGCACTAAGCATAGATGGAATATTGAAACCAGAGTAGAGCTAGTCACAGATTAGGACAAACAAAGAAGATTTCAGCAATGTGTAAAATTACTGACCTATCATGGTACTTCTCCTCTAATTCTCTGTACTGTTGACGGAGAACCTCTCTTTCATGAATCGGTCTGCTCTGTACTTGCAGAGGAGATGGAAAATTAGCTGTTGATGCATGTATACAAAATCATAAAAATATTGGAATCTAGAAAATCCATTTGTGTAAATACTAGACAAACCTGCTTACTAACTATTGGTCTAATCTGGATATCTCGAGAAAGACTAGAGAAGTATTGTTCTGATTCCTCCTCAGAAACTTGCTCCACAAATCCCTCCACTCTTACCTACAAATGACTTCGTAGTGAAGCATAGCAAGACAATTATATAAACGTAGGTGCCTTATGTAGTCAGTTATTTACTTATATTTCAGAGAGTGATGGAAATATCATCTACAAGGTCTATTTCTAGGTGTTGGAGTTAGATTGTGCAGCATTATATGAGCTATTGGATTGTTGGGAATACAGCTGTAAGTCCGCATCACAGAAAGCAAATCTTCGTTTGAGGTTCTTTTTTTTTTCCCCTTCCTGCCCATTTGAGGTTTTAAGAGAGTCGTCAAAGTAATCACGGCACTTTCTCTTTAACTTCATTCTCTCTCTTTTACATTTTATCTTAATCATAGCGAAACTGAACCTTGGACTCTGAGCACGAAATACCACAATCCTGCAGATCACTCTTCAGCACCTCATCTAGTCTAAATGCACCTCTTCAGCAACTCATCTAGTCTATCACAATCCTGCATATCACTCTTAAGTAATTGAATGCATATTTAGGACAGGATTTCTGAACTGACATTTCCATATATATGTTAACTATGAATATTCTAAACGAAGTCTATGTCAATTATGATTAGTGGTCACACCAATATAACACAATGTCACTAGATATAAGTGCTTTCCCAAAATCCAGGAAGTGTTAGAGGTGGAATCAGTTTTAACCTGGCGCTTCAAAGGACCCCAGTAAAAGAGAAGTGATGCTTGAGGATTTTCAAGAATTTCACGAGCTTTTCGGCTCCCATAGTTGGTTTGCCTGCAGAAACAAGAAGGATTTCATTAAATAAACTATATATACTAAAGGCATATAGAGATAATTATCCAACCATATACGTCAGAAATAGTCATGGAGCTCACCAGACAAAACCATCTTTATTTACTCCTTCTAATGACATCATTCGCGATGAACTGGGAAGAAGAAATACCACATTTTCGAAATCAGGCAAAAATCACTTGATTGCACAATACTTGCACACCACGTAAAAATGAGAAAATTGAAGCTAGAAAGACTTACGGTTTTGCATCTATATCAGCTGTTGATAGGACCATATAATGGGGTTCTTTGATTCCAGCTGCCAATGCATTACTAAACCACTTTTGAAACTGCAGAAAAAATGAGGCTTACCACAATAAATATAAATATACTGCATTGCTTTTAAGAAAAGAAGTGTGCATACATATCTGGATTATGGAACAAAGTTGCAAAAAAAACTAACAAGGGAGTCAAAAATATGGTATGATAGATGTTAAGCCTCTGCTTTTTAGACAAACTCAACCTGATAAATTGGATCTTCCTCCACCTCCTCAAGTGATTCAGAAGATGCAAATATTCCTTTTTGTGCCGATAAATTGGTTTGTGGAAGATTTCCAATTCGAACACACATGGAAGTGCCAGGATAAGGAGGGGGTTTTAACTTGAATTTGTCTATGATAGACTGTGGAACGAATCTTCCTCCTATAAAATGATGTGTGCCAAAAAACATTTTGGCGCACAATTTTGGAGCAGTCAAAGAGACCTACACAGTAAATGTCCAAAATTTTCTTAGGTATTTCACTTGATAAACAGAGGACAAAAAGAGTCGTCAATGGAACTACAGCATGATAATAATGTAATGTGAGTACTTAACAGCTGCATACCAACATATCAGGTTTAATGCCGACACCAAAAATGTCTCCGTCTTCAACATGCCACCCTGAAGGCACATCTACAGATATAATAACAGCAGCTTTCTGATGTGTGCACTGCTGGTTTCTTACAGAGACCAGCTTTCTAATGAGGCTGTCAAACGGTAGCCTTGGGGTGCCTGGATAAAATCAATGTGCTCAAATGACTTTTTACATATTTCAAGACCTAGAGTTTATCCTCATAATGACAGACGACTTTTGTGTTTGAAGGAAAGACATAACTAGCTAGCCCCAGGCACATTTAAACTGACTACTGCATATGAAACAACCCTAAATAAATTAAACGGATAAGGGAAAAGAGAGGAAGGATAAGAGATCCGCAAGGAAAGAAGAAGCACTATATTCTATAAAGGCTTAGAATAATGACCAAAATCATCCATAACAACAAATTACTTCCAATGCTGCACAGAAGTGTTGAATGGTGGATAAAGAGTGATCAAAACCAACTTATGCAGAAAATAAGACTAAAAAGTTTGGTATAATAGCTAGAAAGTTTATAGAGCTTCCAATGGCAGTCTTAGCCTTCGCAGCAAAGAGAAAAATTAATGGGAAGGTCAAATAGAAAGTGAGAAGAAAGTATTACCATGGAATGAGAATCCAAAAATTGCATCCACAATAATATCATAGTCACTTGAAAGTTGCACGGATAGTTGTTCCTCCGACAGGAATGGAATTGACAGTGATTCAAGCTACAAAAATTCCCACATCCATTAACATCTCAATAAACTAGAAATATTGAGGTTCAAGAATTTCATGCCATATCCTTTACCTGGGTGACCAATGCAGCAAAAAGAGGTTTAGTATTTCGTTTTGGATAACAAATGGAAGGCTTATAACCAAAGTGATGCAAGTGTCGAGCAGCTACAAGACCATCCCCGCCATTGTTACCAGGACCACATATAACAAGCACGCGAGTATAGTCACTTGAACTATAGACCTGGAGAGATAACATGTATTTAGTCTTATCATCATCCCGCAGAGAGCAAAGAAATAAAGAAACGATACTTTCACAAATCAAGCGATTACTTGTTCATACACTACCATATGTTATGCCTTTCCTGTCAAGGCTTTACTTATCGCAGATACCAAATTCTCCCTAGGTTACTTGTTTTCATGTTAATTTCTTCCTTAACTAACCCTATCACAAACAAATGATCTTTAACCATGGCTTCTATAACACTATGCACACATATGCTTTTATTTCAATGAGGTGATAAATGAATTGATATATGAAAACAGTTATGGTCATCTAGTTTTATCAAAAAGGTTATATAGCTGCAGTCGATGACTACATGAGCTCTAGTCGACAAATTTGTCTGCACAGCCGAACAATGAAATTCTATTACAGCCAAAAGCACGAGCAGAGGATTTCCAATATCGAACAATCACGTCAAGAATGTTCCACTTTCAATATACTAAAACTAGGTGCAGAGCTAGAAGGTAAGCCACGGGTTTGGCCAAACCCGCTAGCTTTAGTCTAAACCCTGTATTTGTACTAAGAAATCCACTAAATATGCATAAAAATTAACTTAAGAACCAAGTCACCAACACCTAATATCGTTCTCCTAAAACTTAGAACCCATAAAACTCAAATCCGGGCTCTACCTCGGACTAAAACCCACCCTCTTGCAAACATATTGTTTTCCCACTGGTGCCAGAGTCGAAAATAGATGGAGAGTTCAGATGGACTCTGCGCAGTATAGAAAACTAGATACAAGTGGAACTGGCCTACGTAAAACAATATTATAGCAGTATGCTAAGATAGCCACTTACCTCTCCAATTGCAGAGGCAACACTCAAGCCCGCCAATTCCTAAACTCAAAACAAGTAAACCCAATTTCAGGGGATAAGTAGAAATTTAGAGAAGTATAAGAAAATTAAGAAGACAAACCATGAGCTGATCCACACTAAAACCAAGAGGACCCATCAACATATCATCAATTTCTATAGCTTCTTGCTGGCTCACATATGATATCTCCTCTGTGCAAGACTCCATGCTCTGGGCTTGCTGCTGTGACTTCACCACAAGAAAGGACACTGCTTAGTTCCTTCTACACCCACTGGAGTGTCAAAAGCTGTTCGGTTCCTTCTGGACATCTGGAGTGTCAAACATAAGGGATTAATATTACTATATTCTCACTTTTGGAAAGACTAAGCTAGCGTTTCTTTATATTCTTTTATTTATCACGAAATACCAACGCATAAGATTATTTATCTTGAGTGATATATTCATATTTTTGAATTTTGAACGTTAAATTGTATTTAATTGATAAACTCTAAATCTTATTTTGGAAGATGATCTTGAGATTGTAGACCATACTTGAGGGGCGTAAATGATTTTGACCCCTTTAAATTTTGACTTTCATATGGATTTAAAAACTTCGCAAAAGATCATTTAGTATCATCATTTAAATTGAAGAAAGTCACTCAAGAAAGATCAGATGCTTTTGAAATTTGTACATTAATCTTGCTTAATTATGTAAATAACTGATTTACCTGACGAAAAGACGAATGACTTAACATCATTGACGCCTTGCACGATGATTTTATACTCTTGAGATGCTAGGAATTTTTGTTTTTTGTTCACAAAGTCACAACTCAAAAGCCAAGTGGAACAAAGGTTGCATTCCTTGACGTACTCCTTTTTCATTTCATAAGCACGACAGTGGTTTTGTTACGTAACACGAAATATAATGTTGTGAAATCAACAGCATTGGCCAAATTTGTGACTGCACTACTTACTTGGCGTTCTAGCTCTTTTATCTTCCAAACAATCCAATGAAAAACGCAACTAGAAACAAACTTAACGGCACTAAGTCGGAAAAAAAAAACAGATAAGAGAAGGAAATCATATTTGTGTTGAGTTTCCAGAATAGATGAATTAATTTATAACATGATAAAAAATGGTAAATAGCATATTTTAATGGGTTAAACTACACTGGCCGTATAAAAAATCTTTACATCATCAATGTATATAACTTAAATCATATCTGCCGAGAAATTGCTGGACTTTATTTGGACCCTAAAAAGTTGTCTCGACTCTGTGCAATACACAGAAACATGATCAAATATGCGCTGAGAAGAGAAAGAAAAAGCTAAAGAGAGTACAACAATTGGCATCCTCATAATGAGGATGCCCTGAACATAAGTCATGGAGCTAATCGCTCAATTCTCCACTCTCTCCTTCCATCAACTGTTTCCGGTATATAACACAACCTGCAATTGTGAAACCATCGAGTTTAGCCATAAACTATATGGGAAAGAAGAGCAACCTAAAGTTCTAAAGAGGCAGACATGCTGAAGTTAATGTGGAGATCTCAGCAGATTGCAATTCAAATATGGAATCACAGAGTCTTGGATACTTGTAGTTTTAAAACGTAGACAACATTCACACTCCTAACCTATGGGAATTGAAGAAATAATTTGCCAATATCAGGTGATTCTTGGAAATCTGTTCCACAGAGCATTCAGTATCTGAACTGCTGATGTTCCCTAAAGGGTCACTGGACATTTAAATTCTCACAAATATATTTTATGTCATTCACTCTTTTTTAGTTAAACTCTTTTCTAAATTGTTTGTTGTATTGCTAAGCATTCCATATATCTTTTTTAGATTGTTAAAGGCATACAAAACATTCCATCTCTGATTCCACTCTGTTGATGTAGTTTTTATATCACATTCCTTTTCCATATGACGAGCTACCCAGAAAATTGCATCTGTAAAATTTCTCTTACACATTAAAAGGAAATCTGCTAAAACTTGATTTCTAGTTGGATATATTCCTAGCATAAAATGTATGTCTTCAGAAGAGACATCCTGGAGTAAATACCTGTCATGCAAGCGAGATTGCTGTCCTTGCCAAAATTCAAACATCTCAGGTTTAAGCCTGTAGCCTCCCCAGTGCTTCGGTTTGGGAATCAGACTTCTGCAGATAAGTCAAAACAGGTTCTCAAGTCTATACAGGATATGGGAGTGAAATTTACAGCGCATGAGGTAGGAAACAACAAATGCTCAAGTACTGAAATGGTTATATTACAAGATACAAAATTCTTTGGTTTTAAGTTAGATAAAAACATGAAATACTGAAATGCATAATAGGACATATGACAAAATAGGAACTGAACAATCGAATAGGGGTCATTTAGCACCATTGCTGAAGCAGAGACAAAATTGAACTTGAGAAGGCTAAGTCAAAAGTCAGCATAAGGCAAGTTTGAGCATTATCAGGCTGGAGTAAAGTTGTTCATACAGCCAAATGAAAAAAATGGTATTGCTCTCTTAGTTCTTTTTTCCTCCCTTCATGATCGATTTGTTGTTCTACAATTTTCGAATTAATGTCATTACACTTCACTTAACATATTAATTTATTGATCTACAATTTTCAGGTTAAATGTCATTAATTTTTAACAATTTAAAGATATTAAATTAGCATTCTCATGCAGGCTGGCCTTTGGTTGGACCTACTGATGAAATCTAATTCGAGCTGCATCTAAGCTAAGGTAGGCATCAATTGACAGCCTACTCAGTAGACACATGCATTTCTACCTACCACTGCAAACAAAAAGATTTAAATCCAGTTGAGATGAAATTGTAAGGGAAGAACCTTAAATAGCAACTGGGAAGTTTAGAGCGGAACATTTCGGATTCAACTTTGCAACAATTTCCTATTGCAGAATGAGGAAACTTTTAAATCTATAAAGGGTATGATAACTCAACTTATTCTCTCCCCAATGAGTTTTAGTTTTTCCTAGTTCTCAGCACCACTTTTGAATTTTCATCCCCTCTTCATGGATCTTTTCTGATGGGGTTCCCTCGTTATGCGTATTATTTCTACTTCATGTCCTAGCTAGGCACTTCTACAAAACTTATTCCTCCAGTTTTCTTTTCAAAGGGACTGTGAATTGGGGGAAGAAATTTACTGTGCATTACATATTTCCTGAAGTATGGTAATGAATTACAGGAGACAAATTTGAGCAGAAGTATGAGAACATGAAGAAACCATGGTTTGAATGATGCAGATATAGAAACATCATAGCATTTGGCTTCTTAACAGTTTGCACTCCAGGGCAGTTGATTAGTTAGGCTAGACACTAACCCATCAGAGTATTTTGCCTCCAACTGTTTGTATTCGTCAATGAGGAATTGCCTTCCAGGAATAATTGTGCTCTAGGAAAAGCAAGAGACAAATGTTCGCAAATTATATGGGCAAATAAAAGAAAGTTATGGAAAAACAAAGTGAAAGAAACAAGTTCAAGAATTAGATTAACTGGCGGACCTGCTTGCTAGCTATGGCACCAAGCTGACTTCCTCGAGGACGACTGTGGAAATATTGCTCAGATTCCTCATCAGAAACTTTTTTCACAGGCCCTTCAATTCTTACCTAGAGACCACACTGTTGTTTTAAGATCCATGCAGAAAAAAAAACACCTTTTTATAATCAATAACAGTATTTCATCAGCGGCAGGGGAACCAATGTAGCTTGCACATGGATTGAGTTCTTTTTTAATAGGCAACTTTTACTCATAAACCACACCAAATGAGTGCTTAAGATAAACACTAGAAAATACGAAAGCAGTTTCCTTTAATCCGGCAGGCAACTAAGAAGGTCTAGTAAAGTATGAATATCATATAGATTTTCCATCTCCAACAAAATGCTAAGAGAGATAAACACTTATATTATTAGTCTTTGCTAACAATAGAAAATAAGGTATTGATAGCTTCCTAACTTCCTAATTAGACTGCTTAAATTTTTCTCATTGAAGATAAGAACAAGAACACCAACAGATCCTCTATTATAGCTAGCTTAACTCAGGATATACCTGGCGATTCAAATCATCCCAGTAAAAGAGGAGCGCGGCATGAGGATTTTCAGCTATTTGTTGACCCTTGCTGCCTTCATAATTGGTGTACCTGCACAGGGAAGACCCAATGTAAGAATGAAAAAACAAAGTAGTGTCTTCTGAAAGACATTTAGCATGTACTACCACAAAAATGATCAGAACTAACCAGACAAAACCATCCTTGTCAAACCCTTTCAGCAATACGATCCGTGATGAGCTTCAGGCACAAAAAAAAAGTCATAATATGCCATAAGTTTATGGTCCAAGTAAGAGATAAAAAAAATTATCTAAGCATTTAAAACGAGAACCAACATGCATATAAACAATTTGAGACACAATCAGAGATTCAGAATATAAGCTATCTGTAGACATGTCTCATTCAAATGAAATTATAATCTTAGCAAAAATTCCAATGATCTAGCATTTTAAGGTTACAAGTATCACAAAGTTGGTTTATAAAGTTAAGAACCAATGAGAAAATTAGAGTCACTTGCCATATAATGCAAATGGACAGCATTCTTAGCAAGCAAAGGGCATGGGAAGGACAAGCAGAAAATTGCACAAAGAGACAACAGTTTCCAATCTTCTTAAAAGTGTAAAGAGAGGGAGAGAGAGAGAGAACAATTTTCCTTAAATATCCTGCTAATTCTCATATCAAAACTGTTGCTAGTTTCACAATTGAGTGTGAACCAAACTGTCATATGAAAGTTCTCTAGAAGTTATAGCTCTCATCACAATTTCTTGAACATTCGATAATTCAAGAGGCAAGGAAGGAGGTAAAGTCTTAGTCACGTATTATTCCAGCGGATGGGTTCAAAACGAAAATGAAATGATTAATTTTTTGGAATAGCCATGTGAGACTCACGGCTTGCCATCTTTGCCAGTAGTTGACAAGGCCATGGCATTCGGTTCCTTCAAGCCTGCCGTCATTGCATCATCAAACCACTTTTGGAACTGCATAAAGCCAAGGGTGATCTCATTATAAAGCAACAAGGGAATTTAGAAGTTAAACATAAAATCACAGAGAAAATTCTAGAAACATGGGTTAGAATTAGTGACACCTGAAATATGGCCAACCATCTATTAATATTACAAGGGAAATAAAGTTCTCGGTCATCATCCCCTCTGCTTTAATCAACTTATACCTGATCAAAGGGGTCAGCGGCGACCTCCTCCTCAAGCAGCGCAGGTGAAATATAGTTCTCCCTCATAGATGATATGTCAATTTTAGGAGGCTTTCCAATGCGGACGCACATGGAAGTGCCAGGATATGCTGGTAGTTGGAGATTAAATTTGTCTCTAATGGACGGTGGAACAAATCTGCCACCTAAAAAGTGGTGCAGGCCAGAAAAACTTTTGGCACACAACTTAGGGGCAGTTAGAGAAACCTACATTCGAGAAATTTTACTTGTTAGGTGGCTCAAAATTAAAGAAAAGTCAAAACAGTAAGGCGATCCAGATATTTAACACAAAAAAAAAAAAAACAGATACATACCAGCATGTCAGGTTTAACACCTTCACCACTTAGATCTCCTTCTTCCACGTGCCATCCAGATGGAATATCTATAGAGACGATGGCAGGTGATTTCTGATGCTTATCGTCTCTAATCTTTAGTGCCACCAGTCTATGAATTAAGTCGTCAAAAGGTGGCCTTGGGCTACCTGGACAAGTTTTAAGAGATTACCAGACATCTTACAAAAACTAAAGAAAGATTGCGGTGCACACACTTCACTGCCAAAACTTCTTTTTTTTTTTTAATCTTTTAAAAAGACGAAAATTGCTTTTCGTAATCTAGGAATTTTAAGATTGTTTCCATAATTATTCGGAAGCAACCTTTGCAGAGGTACTTGGTAGTTACCTCTTTCAGTTTTTTCTGTTCCTTCATTCTATCCTAGAACTTCTCTTCTCTATGGTTCTACCCTAAAATCCAATGATAATCAGACCTAAAGAGGAATCTCATTTTCTCCTCATTTTTATATATTATCGATTCAAGCCATCCACCTGAGGGACAAAAAAACCCTCCTTTTCTGATTTATTTCAGGTATCAAACAATTCTATCCACTTCCAGACCTTAAAACAAACTAAAATATTTGTAGATTTTTCTTCCTAGGAAATAACGACAAAATTTGACCCAAAAACCATCCTTTATCCTGCCTCAACACTCCGCTCCCTTCATTTCAATCTATTTTTGGTTTCAATCCATCCACCTAAGGAATGTAGAAGGATTATTATTATTACTATTTTTTCCTTTTCCTGTTAATCATGGACAAAAAACCCTCCTTACTAATCTATTTTGGGTATCAAACCATTCTATACACTTTGACCTGACCTTAAAACAGACTAAAATATTTGTAAATCTTTCCACCAGGAAACCTCAACGAAATTTGATAAAAAGACCATCATTATCCTGCCTCAACACTCCACCCCCAACAAGAAAATGCCCTATATGTTTAAGAGATTACATTTTATATTTCTCTGTTTCTCTGATACCAGCTGCGTTGTCATCTCATCTGGCAATGAAGAAGATTCTAGTTTTTTACAGATCAAAAGAAAGGATTATTATATGGCTAAAGATATAAGCAGTTACACCAGAATTCTTTTCTTAAATAAACCCCACTGCTCCCATTCTTTTCCATGATAAAAGGAATCATTATACAAAGGTAAAGCAAAAGTAACTTATCCACAAACAACGTAAATGACATGAAGAAAAGAAATAGAAAGAAATATAAATGAAAGGCTTCCAACCAAAAGATTCTTAAAGTTGAGTGTGACGATTAGAAATCATCACTGCTAAGGAAGGAGAATCAAGAATGTTTTGGGAGTTAGTGAAGTACTGTTAATATCAGTCATTGTAATTAAAGAATTGAGTTTTCATCTTTAATCCTTAAGTTTAGCTTTTTCCGTTTTGGTCCATAGAGAAGGGCTAGGAAGGGTTCTAGAAGATTACACGCGTCTATTTCTGGTCTGGGGAGTACAATTACAATAGCTGTCTTTTTCATCCTTAAATGGATAGATCTGAGTATTGTAAATAGCGTAATATGATGAATATCAATCCTCTTTTTCTCTAAATCTTCTATTTCTCTGTTAATTTCCTTTATTTTGCAAGTAGTATCCAGAGCCTTTGATCCTGGCATTACCAGACTATGGTGGATAAAAACAAGAATGCTTCTGGCAGTAGTCGGACGCCAGATTTACCTATTCCGGCGACGCCGGGTGGAGCTGAGCTACGTATGACTCAGTTGGAGGAACGACAGGCTTTCCTCGAAACGACGGTCATGGAGCTTTCCGATTCTAGCAAAAGGGTTGAATACCTACTTATACAGATCGATAATGACCGGAGAGCTGCCGCTTCACCGGCGTTACGCTCTACGGCAGCTGTTACTCAAGGTGACTCGATTCACGCTTCTGGACACTCATCTGTGGGGGGGAATCTGCGAGGTTCAACTCCATTTATCTCTCCGAATGTTTCAACTGTGACCCATGGTCTGACCTTTCCTTCTACAACTTTCGTTTCAACCCCTGTTCTCCAACCCTTATCTTACCCGGATAACATCACCACCTCACAAACCTTAAAACCGTCTGCTCATGCTTACAGACCCTCAGCCCAAACTTTCCCTCTACCTGCCACCCATTTGAGCTTACCACCACCACCTTCTTTCTATAATACTACATCTCACATACCTTTTTCTCTTCCTTCTCTTCCGCCTATGTCAATTCCTTATACCTCCACTATGACATACTCATTGAATCCCTCCATTTCATATCACCCTACGCAGACTTCTGAGTATGGGAATCAACCTTTCTCAGTACCTTTTGGTTCTTTCCAACCTCAGCCCTTCGGAGGAGCCATGCCACCCTTCAACGGGTTTGACACTACAAGGTCTCGCTCGAAGGGGCCGAAACCAAAAATGCCATTCCCTGAATTTGATGGAAAAAATCCACGCGCGTGGATTCGGAGGTGTAACAGGTTCTTTGAACTTTATGAAGTCGATGAGGTTGAGAAAATGACGTATGTGTCAATGAATCTGAAAGATGAAATAGACATGTGGTTTGATAGCTATGTTTTGGACAAAAGGGAGAGAGTGACATGGCCTATGTTTTGCCTAGACGTGTGTATTTGTTACGGCAACATTAGGCCCACTCAAATTATTAGAGAATTCAAACAAGTGCAGCAAGTAACAGATGTAGAAAGTTATCAAAAGAAGTTTGAGGAATTACGTTGTTTGATGGGAGTGACAAATCCAAATCTGGATGAGGCATATTTTGTGGAATGTTTTATTGGGGGTCTCACGTTAGACATCCAAGACACTGTTTCATTAGCTAATCCACATACCTTGGTTGCTGCTTATGACTAGGCAAAAATCCATGAAAGGAAGGTGGAGGCCAATAAAAAGTTCACTGCAAAAAACACGCAAAGGGCCAATCAGGTGGGCCAAAAATTCAGCTGCCCATTTTCAAGTTATGTTACTCCCATACTCAACCTTCTCAACCACTAAAAGCCCAACCTATTAATCCCAACAGAGCTACTACTACCAAGAATTGGTAGTATCTTTCTTATGAGACAATGCGAGCTCAAAACCTCTGTTTCCATTGTCATGAAAAATATCACCCTGGCCATCAATGTAAGGCTAAGGCTTTGAATGCAATAGCAGGGGAAGAGGTGATTGGGGAAGTAACAGAAGGAGGAGTCGAATTGGAGGAAGAGGTAACGGAGCCTCAGGACCAGGAGGAGGGGGAAGTCTCAATTAATGCTATACTGGGTTTGGGATCCAATACAAAAACCACTAAGATTACAGGCTGGTCAAAGAAGGAAATGATTGGTTTTAATCTGACAGTGGATCCACCCACAGTTTTGTGGATCCACAACTGGTTAAGAACTTGAGGACTCAGATTAGTTGGCTTCGTACGCCCATGAAGGTGAAAGTTGCCAATGGGCAAATCGTTGATTGTCAGGAAGTTTGCAAAAAATTTAAGTGGAGGATGGGTGATGAGTACTCTTTTGGTTTTGGATTATTAAAAGTTGGGGGGTGTGATATGGTATTAGGAATGGATTGGCTTGATACCATCGCTCCAGTGGTGTTACATACTCGGCCATTGAGTATTACTTTCATCAAGGATAACAAAAGAATAACACTCGTGGGGGACCAGGAATCACAAACCTTGTCCATAGCTGATGCTAAAACTATAGATCGATTGCTAGTGACGGGCCAGTGCAGCTGTGTGGGCCAACTTTTTGAAATGGCCCATGAAGATCCAGACCAGAACATGAAAAGCATTCCTGTGGGGGTCAAAGGTTGTTAAATGAGAACCGCGACATTTTTGATGAACCTTACCACCTCATAGGGCTTGTGACCATCATATCGAGTTACTACCAGGGACTAAACCCATTAACCTCAGACCTTACAGATACTCGTTTGAGCAAAAAAATGCTATTGAAAAGATAGTATCTAAAATGTTAGAGGCCCAGACCGTAGCTCCCAGCATCTCTCATTTTGCTTCACCAGTAATACTAGTCAAGAAAAAAGATTCAAGTTGGCGCATGTGTGTAGATTATCGAAAATTGAATGAAGCAACCGTGAAGAACAAATACCCCATTCCGGTGATAGAGGATTTGTCAGATGAACTTTGTGGTGCCAAGTTGTGTTCAAAATTGGACCTACGATCGGGCTATCACCAAATACGTATGAAGGATGGGGAGGAATACAAAACGGCCTTTAAGACCCACCACGGGTTATGGGAGTTTAGAGTTATGCCCTTTGGGCTAACGAATGCCCCGGCAACGTTCCAAGCCTTAATGCATAATATTTTTTGGGCCTTATCTCAGGCATTTTGTCTTGGTATTTTTTGATGATATCTTGGTCTATAGTTCAACATTACAAGACCATGTGAAACATTTGGATACTGTGTTTAAGGTTCTGAGAACAAATCAATTGGTGGCCAAGAGATCAAAATGTACTTTTGCTCAAAAAGTGGAGTATTTGGGCCGTATCATTTCGGGAGATGGGGTGAGCACTGACGAAGCAAAAGTTGCAGCTATGGTTAAGTGGCCACAGCCCAAAACATTAAAAGAGTTAAGGGGTTTCCTTGGGCTCACGGGCTACTATAGACGCTTCATCAGGAATTTTGCTACCATCAGTAAACCCCTCACAAGTCTGCTTAAAAAGGGGAACTTTCATTGGAATGAAGAAGCCACAAATGCTTTTATTGAATTGAAGCAAGCAATGAGCAACGCTCCAGTGTTGGCTTTGCCAAATTTCACAACACCTTTTGTGATCGAGGTCGATGCTAGTGGTAAGGGAGTAGGTGCCGTTTTGACTCAAAATGGCGTACCCATAGCTTATCTAAGCCAAGCCTTGTGTCTGAAACACCTGGGACTCTCAACTTACGAAAAAGAGCTCATAGCATTACTGATCGCGGTGGAGAAATGGAGGCATTATCTTCAGCCTAGACCTTTTGTGATCAAAACAGATCATTTCAGTCTCAAATTCTTACAAGACCAAAGGATCACTACCACGTTACAACAAAAAGGGGTTACAAAATTGTTGGGATTAACGTATGAGATCCAATATAGAAAGGGAGCTGAGAACTTGGCAGCAGACGCTCTATCAAGGAGCTTAATAGAATGCTAGAAAAGGCCAAGCAATTGCAATGGTTGAAAGGTTTTGAAGGGGGAACATCTCGGGCTCATCAATCTCCATATCCCACCTCTTATTTGCAGATGACACCCTTATTTTCTGTGATGCAGAAAAAACTCAAGTGCAATATCTTAATCTTACTCTGATGATTTTTTAGGCTATTTCAGGACTTCAAATTAACATGTCCAAGAGTATCATTTATCCTGTTAATATGGTACCTCACTTGGAGGAGCTGGCTGATATTATGTTCTGCACCACAGGATCATTTCCTACTACCTACTTAGGTCTCCCCTTGGGTGCTAGACACAGGGCAACTGATATTTGGAATGTGATCATTGATAAGTTTGAGAAAAGATTGGCATCATGGCAGCAAGAGTACCTTTCTTTTGGGGGTAGATTAACACTCATCAGTAGTGTTTTGGATAGTATACCTACCTATTTTATGTCCCTATTCCCAATCCCAGTCAAAGTGCAAAAACAACTAGACAAACTTAGAATATCTTTCCTATGGGAAGGTAACAGTAAAGAGCATAAGTTTCACTTAGTCAAATGGTCCAAAGTTACAATGCCCAAAACACTTGGGGGGCCTTGGAGTTAAAGATCTGGTACTTCACAACAAAAGCATGCTTATGAAGTGGCACTGGAGGTATAACCGGGAGTAAGCTGGGGTCTGGAAAGAGATCATCTAAGCAAAGTATGGGACTTCTAGTCACTAGTGCACTAATATGGTTAGAACACCATATGGAACTGGGCTGTGGAAGAATATCATGAAACTTTGGGAGGATTTCTCAAGAAACACATCACTGCAAGTGGGAAATGGTGCACACATCCAATTTTGGAAGGACAAATGGTTGGGGCACACTACACTAAAGGAGGTCTACCCAAGATTATTCCTAATTGCAACCAATCCAGACTCTACTATTGCTCAAAACAGGGAGGACAATACATGGAATCTAAACCTAAGAAGGGATCTTAACGATTGGGAGATAGAAGATCTGGCTTCACTTCTTGGAAGCTTGCATAACAACATAGTCGTCATCCAGGGAAGAGACAGGCTTAAGTGGGGCAACAACAAAGAGGGCACTTACTCCGTCAAAGCAGGCTACTCCCACTTGAGCTCCAATAAAGAAATGATTGATCAATGGCTTTGGAAATTAATCTGGAGAATTAAGCTGCCACCAAAAGTTATCTGTTTTAGCTGGATCACTCTAAAGGGCTCCTGCTTAACACAAGACAATCTCATCAGGAGAAATTTTCAGCTTCCTAATAGGCGTTACATGTGCCTCTGCAAGTCTGAGTCAATTAATCATTTGTTTCTTCATTGCTCAGTCGCAACAAACATGTGGAACATGTTCCTAACTCTTTTTGGTCTGCATTGGCCTATGCCATGCAGTGTCAGGGAGGCTTTTGTGAGTTGGTGCTCATGGAAAGTTGATATAACCATCAAAAGGATCTGGGCTATGGTTCCTGCTTGTATTTTGTGGTGTATATGGACCGAAAGGAATCAGAGATGCTTTGATGGGGTCTCAACTGCCAACCATTCTCTTAAAGCCAAATGTTTAGTTAATCTTTTTAGCTGGGTTAATCTTACCCCTGTTTATAACCCTGAATCCTTTTTGGAATTTATCAGCTCCTTAGTCTTATGATAGATCTTTTGTTGATATTTTTGGGCTGATACTTTCTGTTTGTTTGTAACATCTGCATCTTCTTGATGCCTTTTGTTAATAAAAAATCAAGGAGCTTCGAAGAAAGAGGTGAAGGAGAGTGTTTGGGTTTGTCCACAGTTCAACCTAAGTGGATGTCGGAGGTGATCAAAAGCTACCAAAATGATGCTAAGACACAAGAACTACTCACCAAGCTCACTTTAGATCAAAATGCAGTACCAAATGTTACCCTTCAACCGGGGATTTTAAGGTACCGCAGCAGAATATGGGTGGGTGGTAATGGTAATTTGAGATCAAAATTAATCATTGATATGCATGCCACTCCATGGGGAGGGCACTCTGGTCCATTAGTAACAGTACAAAGATTAAAGGCCTTGTTTTATTAGCCTGGTTTGCCTAATGAAGTTAAAACACAAGTGCAGAGTTGTGAAGTCTGTCAACGCAACAAAGATGAGAACGTGGCATAACCCGGCCTCCTACAACCACTGCCAATTCCCTCAAGAGCTTGGGAACATGTGGCAATGGATTTCATTGATGGATTGCTGAAATCTGCAAGCAAAGACTCCATCTTGGTGGTCATTGACCGTTATACCAAGTATGCTCATTTTTTCGCGCTTTCACATCCTTACTCGGCTAGCCACATTGCACAGTTATTTCTTGATAATATTTGCAAGTTACATGGGAAACCCAGTTCAATTGTCTCGGATAGGGATCCTATTTTTGTAAGTACATTTTGGAAAGAACTCTTTAAAGGATTGGGGGTGCAGTTGAGGATGAGTTCTGCTTACCATCCTCACACCGATGGGCAATCGGAAAGATTGAACCGATGTTTGGAAACATACTTGAGGTGCATGACCGGTCATCGACCATCGAAATGGAGCAAATGGATGGCACTGGCAGAATTTTGGTATAATTCGAACTTCCAATCAGCAATTGGCATGACCCCTTTTAAAGCACTATATGGATATGACCCTCCGCAACCATCATTTGAATTGGTTGCCCAAGCCTCATTGAGTCCAGCTGACCAAGTCATCAGAAGCAGGCAGGTGATGTCTCGAGTTCTCAAATATAATCTCGAAAAAGCTCGGGTTAGAATGAAACAAAATGCAGATAGGCATAGAGTTGATAGAAAGTTTGAAATTGGGGATTGGGTTTTCCTTAAGCTGCAGCCCTACCGTCAAGTCTCTGTGGCAGTGAGGAGAACTTGAAGTTAGCAGCCAAGTTTTTTGAACCCTATGAGACCACTCAGAAGGCGGGACCAGTAGCTTACAAGCTTAAGTTACCTTCAAATTCTCGGATTCACCCAATTTTCCATGTCTCCCAACTGAAGAAGCAGATTGGGAATCAAGTTTTCGCAGCTCAAGATCCTCAAATTTGCAACCAGGATGGTCAAATGTTAGCTGAACCAGTGGCTATCCTCGATCGGAAAATGGTGAAAAAAGGGAACAGAGCTTCAACTCAAGTACTCGTTCAATGGGCGAACTTAAGCCCAGATGAGGCAACATGGGAAGAATACTCTTTTCTAAAATCTCAATTTCCAAACTTTGATGAACCTTGTAGAAACCAAGGTTCTTGCTGAAGAAGAGTGGAATGTGACGATTAGAAATCATCACTGCTAAGGAAGGAGAATCAAGAATGTTTTGGGAGTTAGTGAAGTATTGTTAATATTAGTCATTGTAATTAAAGAATTGAGTTTTCATTTTTAATCGTTAAGTTTAGCTTTTTCCGTTTTGGTCCATAAAGAAGGGCTAGGAAGGGTTCTAGAAGATTACACGCGTCTATTTCTGGTCTAGGGAGTACAATTAGAATAGCTGTCTTTTTCATCCTTAAAAGGATAGATCTGAGTATTGTAAATAGCGTAATATGATGAATATCAATCCTCTTTTTCTCTAAATCTTCTTATTTCTCTGTTAATTTCCTTTATTTTGCAAGTAGAATCGTTACATTGAGTAATTACATGTTGAAGCTCAATGACAAAAAGAATTCAAGAAAAACTATACCATGGAACGAGAATCCAAACATTGCATCAACTAGAATGTCAAAGCTGTCAGACAAGTCCTTTGGCAGATCTTCCAATGACAAGAAAGGAACTGACAGCGACTCGAGCTAGAAAAAGATTGATCCATAAAAAAGCTGAATAAATGAAACTTTTAACAAAAATATGGACGATAAATAGTTCATTCATAAAGTTGAACAAAATTTGGTACCTGAGTTATCAAACCATTATAAAGAGGCTTAGCAGTACGCTTAGGGTAACATATGAATGGCTTATAGCCAAAGTGATACAGATGACGAGCAGCTACAAGACCATCTCCACCGTTATTGCCAGGACCACAAATAGTAAGAACGCGACTGTACTCACTTGGTTTGTAGACCTGTCAGAAGAATTAAATTAGTGGCATAAAGCCTCAACGAACCAACCCCTAAGTTCTATCAACCTACACTCAACTCAAAAATTGCTAAAATGGCAGAGGAATGATGACAAAAGTTTTAATGTCCAATATGCAAACAAATTACTAAAAGCTCAAAAATATGACGCGCTGCGTCAAGGTCTAACGTAACCAAACCACACAACCCAATACAAATGAAACAAACTGCAATTCTATCATAGGAATGCATCTTCAATCATGCCAAATTATCATTAATTGAAACAAAAAATTTGATAAATAAAACAAATAGAAATCTTTATAAAAAATTGCAAACCGGAATTCCAATTACGCACCTCTGCAACAGCAGTGGCAACACTCAAGCCAGCCAGTTCCTACAATCAAAACCACAAAATCACCCAGCATACTAGAAAACATGACCTAATGAAAGTCAAAAGATATTACAATTATCGAATAAAATAAAGAAAGAAAAAGGGGAAATTAAGAGGCTAACCATAAGTTGATCAACACTGAAACCGAGAGGGCCCATAAGTATCTCATCAATTTCGGCAGCTTCTTGCTGATTTAAGTAAGATATGGACTCTGGGTTTTGCTGTATGCTATCCATTTTTGTTGCCATTCCTCTCACTAAACCCCAAGATTTCCCACTATATCCAATCTTGGGTCTTAAACCCAACAACCTCTTTCATTCACAACATTTAACAAGTACGTCAATTCATTAGCTGACAATTCTACACGTAGCGAAGTAAAGATCATACGCTCACACGCGTGCATATAATAAAATAAAGAAAGAGAATTTACCGGAAGAAGAAGATGTGAAGTGGTGAGAGAGCGAGTGGCGTTGAAATTATGGACAGAAATAGGAGCAGAAGGAAGTAATATTGGGGTGAGAAAACATGACATTCTTTTGGCTTTGCGCAACAAAGGAAGCATTTTATAAAGCTCCGAATTATGACAATTAACAACGGCGTTTTGTGGCATTGTTTGTGGCCTCTCGCCTTGGCCATTTTTTCTTGATTTATTAGTAGTTGGAGTATTTATTTTGCCCACCCTATTAATTCTTTCTTTTACACGTGAAACCTCTAGATAAATTGTAGCAGCTACGTTTTATTTATTTCCTATTTTCTATTTTCTTCCTGGTATGGGGCCATGAAAGTGGCTTATAAATATTGAAAGATTATTAGTGAATAATAATGTAAATTATGGTGTGTAAGGATTATATGTAAGGATTTATAATTTAAAAATATTTTTATCTTTGAATACTCTCATATCATATGTATGCTAATACATATATATATATATGTATTCTACATTTTATTTCATATAAAATAATATATAAATTTCGTGAAAGTTATACTAGCCTTAGTAATATAACTTCTGTTTTCTTAGTATTATTCGCATAATTTATGCAAAGGTTAATACCAGAAACTAAATATTGTATTAAATATACTTAATTATTGTACTAATGCAAAATTTTGTATCAAATGTTATAAGTTATATTTGGAAATTAGATTTTCTTACCTCAAACCAAACAATTCTTAGTGAATTTGAACATGGGTGGCTCCAGGGGAAGGCTAGTAAAGTATTTGCTTTATGCCTCAAATTTTTGGGCCCCCTAAACGTTTTAATATAGTTTTTGATGTTATTTTGGCTTAGAAAATATTAAATTCGCAGAAAAAATGTACAAAATCTTTATGAGAAAGATAGAAATGCTGACACACTTTAATAGTAAAAATTTAGAACTTTGCATTAAACTACTTAAATTTTTATATTACTAAATAATATTTTTTAAATAAGATCCGGGATAACATATTACAAACACATGACTTACACCTTATTAACTTGAATTAACCCTTCATATATAATTTTAATATTACTATCAGATGTTTGTTGTGGATTTGAACGTTTTATATCTTGTAAAAGTACTATGCTATAAACAAAAATTATATTAGATTGCGGATTGCATTAGGGTAGCTGCTGGAGAGGTCTTAGGGGCCACGAAGGGTTCTCCTGGGGGGTCATAAAGGGGACTGGTGGTGGAATGGAGAGGTTCAAGGTAAAGTGGAAGCTAAGAAAGCTGCTTATTTGAAGCTAGTAGAGAGTACAAACGAGGAGGAAAAAAGGACTTTTCGGGAGTGTTACATAAAGGCAAAGAAGGAGGCAAAGTTAGCAGTTACGACGGCTAAGAACGCAGCGTTTGCTCGTTTGTACGAGGAGCTCGAGGGCAAATGCGAGGATAAGAGGTTGTACCGGTTGGCCAAGGTGAGGGAGAGGAAAGCCCGTGACTTAGACCAAGTCAAGTGCATCAAGGACGAGGATGGAAAAGTGTTGATGGACGAGGCACTCATTAGGAGAAGATGGCAGACATACTTCCATAAACTGTTGAATGAGGAGGGGGATAGACGCATTGTTCTGGGTGAGTTGGAGCACTACGAGAGTCGGCGGGATTTTAGGTACTGTAGGCGGATTACGGTAGAGGAGGTGGAAGGGGCGATGCATAAGATGTGCAGGGGCAGAGCAATGGGGCCAGACGAAATTCCGGTGGAATTTTGGAAGAGCGCGGGGCGGGCAGGTTTGGAGTGGCTCATTGGGCTGTTTAATGTTATTTTTAAGACAAAGAAGATGCCCGAAGAATGGAGGTGGAGTACGATGATTCCGCTTTACAAGAACAAGGGTGATATCCAAAATTTCAATAATTATAGGGGTATCAAGTTATTGAGTCACACTATGAAGGTTTGGGAGAGGGTGGTGGAGCCCAGGGTGGGGAGGTGCGTGTCTATTTTTGAGAATCAGTTTGGATTCATGCCGGGGCGTTCGACTACGAAAGCGATTCATCTGGTAAGGAGATTAGTGGAGCAGTACAAGGAGAGGAAGAAGAATTTGCATATGGTGTTTATCCCCAAGAGAGCGAGTTTTAAGTATCTCGGGTCTATTATCAGGGTAACGGGGAGATTGACGAAGATGTCACACATCGCATCGGAGCAGGGTGGATGAAGTGGAGGCTTGCTTCCGGTGTTCCATGTGACAGGAATGTGCCGTTAAGACTTAAGGGTAAGTTTTATCTAGTGGTGGTTCAACCCGCTATGCTGTATGGGGTTGAGTGTTGGCCAGTCAAGAACTCCCACGTGCAGAAGATGAGAGTAGCAGAGATGAGGACGTTGAGATGAAAGTGTGGGTGTACCAAGCGAGATAGGATTAAGATGATGCTATCCGGGACAGAGTAGGAGTGGCCTCCTGGGAGGACAAGATGCGGGACTCGCGGCTGAGATGGTTCGGACATGATAGGAGAAGAAGCATTGATGCCCCTGTCAGGAGGTGTGAAAGGTTGGCCATGGAGAGTTTGAGAAGGGGTCGAGGTAGGCCTAAGAAGTACTGGGAGAAGTGATTAGGCAGGACATGGCGCTGCTTCAGCTCACTGAGGACATGACACTTGATAGGAGGGTGTGGAGGTCGAGGATTAAGGTAGAAGGTTAGTAGGTAGTTTATAGTGTTCACCGATAGGCTTAATAGCATGCATGTCCCTTCATATTCTTAGATTTTTATTACGTTATGTGGTTTTGTTCGCCTCAGATATTGTATTCCCTGTTGCTATTATTTGATATTATTTATCCTTTATCTGTCCCTTTTTTTCTCTTCCATCTTTCTTCCTTCCTTGCTTCCCTCTTCTTCTTCTTGCCCTTCCTGAGCCGAGGGTCTATTGGAAACAACCTCTCTACCTGCATTAGGTAGGGGTAAGGTCTGCGTTGCATTAGGTAGGGGTAAGGTCTGCGTACAGACTACCCTCCCAGACCCTACATATTGGGATCAAACTGGTTTTGTTGTTGTTGTTTGCCGCTAATTTTGTTGAGCTGCCATTGAATTTGAAAGGGGAAAAGGCAGGAGTACCTATAAAAATTAAAATATTTACCCTGCTCTACCCATAATTTTTTTTACCCATTAAATAATTACAATCCCCTACCCAATTAATAAACAGACGAGTATCTCAAAATAACTACCACGCTAATGCCCTACCTATAAAAACGGAAAAGTTGCTCAAATTTGGCAGAATTTTACAAAAATTAGCGCACAAAAATTGAGATTCCACCTGCATCACAGAATCGTTGTTGAAGATTTGAAGATCGCCAGCCTGATTTGAAGATCGCAAGCTTGAAAAAACAGAGCGAAGATGCTGATTTCTCTTTAAAATTCGACTTTTTCTCCTTAAAATTTGTAGAAGTATCAATCTGTTCAAATCATAGAAGCTGATTTGACTTTTGAAGATACTGACACTTTTGATGCTCAAATTCACATTGTGTTGTTCAGATTTTGATTTTGTAGATTACAGAAGTTTAGCGCTCAAACTTCTGAATTTTTAACTGAAAATTCTGTTCTCAGTTGGAGATTTGGAGATCTGGAGGTTTGAATCATAACAGCTGTTTGAGTTCGAAAAATCTTCTATTGAAATTCAGTATTTGACTTAACACTTGTAACGACCCGGCCGGTCGTTTTAAGAATTAACGCCTCGATCCCCTATTAACTGCCTTCCCCGTGTTATTTTCTGCTATTGTGAGTTGCCGGGAGGATTCGTTTGGAGTTTCGGAGTATTTTGGGACACTTAGTCCCTAAATGAGAGCTTAAGCTATAGAATTTGGCCCGTGGTCAGAGCAGTGTGAGGACGGCCTCGGAATGGAATTCCATCGATTCCGTTAGCTCCGTTAGGTGATTTTGGGCTTAGGGGCGTGTTCGGATTGTGTTTTGGAGGTCCGTATCTTATTTAGGCTTGAAATGCCGAAAGTTGAATTTTTTAAGTTTCCGGTTCGATAGTGAGATTTTGATATAGGGATCAGAATGGAATTCCAGAAAGTTGAGTAGGTCTATGGTGTCATTTGGGACGTGTGTGCAAAATTTCATGTCATTCGGACGAGGTTTGATAGACTTTTTGATCAAAAGCGGAATTTGGAAGTTTTGGAATCCTTAGGCTTGAATCCGACGGTGATTTGGTGTTCCGACGATGTTTTGAGTGTTCCGAGGGTTGGTACAAGTTTGAATAGTGTTATGTGACTTGTTGGCATGTTTGGTTGAGGTCCCGGGGGCCTCGGGTGAGTTTCTAGTGCTTAACGGAAATTGAATTGGACTTAGGATAATCTGAAGCTTTGCTGAACCTGTCATAATCGCACCTGCGTGTATGGAACTGCAGGTGCGGCATCGCAGAAGTGGTTAGGGGACCGCAGGTGCGGTCTGAGGCTCAAGGGGAATTGGTCGCAAATGTGGCCTAGGTACCGCAGAAGCGGTACCGCATCTGCGGGTAAGGGGTCGCAGGTGCGGAAGTTGGGCTTTAATGAAAGTCGCAGGTGCGGTCCATTTGCCGCAGAAGCGGGACCGCAGGTGCGGTCCCATGGTCGCAGAAGCGGATTCGCTGGTCAGAAAAAGGGAAGAATGAGGGTTTGAACTCAAAACTTGGAAAAATGATTTGGAGCTCGGTTGAGGGCGATTCCTCGAGGGTTTATGAAGGAGAAACATTGGGTAACGATTTCTATCTTAATTTTGATCCTAGAACTATAATCTATTGTTGTTTTCCTCTTCTAATTAAGGAAATTGGGGGTAAAAGTTTGGAAAATGGGAGAAGGTTTCCCCAATTGAAAATTTGAGTTTTGAGTGGGATTTTGACGTCGGATTTTGGTGATTTTTGTTCGAGTGTGTTCGTGAGTGGTCGGGGGTTCTGAAGTTGTAAATTTTATCCAATTCTGAGACGTGGGCCCGGGGGACTTTTTGGGCTCTCTTAATTTCGCGTGTTAGCTTCGAATTAATTAGTTAAATTAGTTACTTGAAGTTATATTTACATTATGCAATTAATTTGAATAGATTTGGGCCCTTTGGAGTCGGGTACTCGTGGCAAGAACGTGATTTCGAGTTGATTGAGCTGGTTCGAGGTAAGTGGCTTGCCTAACCTTGTGTGGAGGAAACTCCCCTTAGGATTTGGTATTGTTGTTATATGAGTGTCGTGCACGTGAGGTGAC